CGTTAACTGCTGGTCTTATGCTAGGACGTTTTCAAGTGCCAAATGAGCTAGTGATTTATTCTTTTCCTACAAAAGTAATCACTCTTGGTGTTAGTTTGACGGCTAGTTTCTGGACAGGCAAGCCCAAGCTCTAATAACATGGATAGCCTCTACTTGAGTTTTAAAAGACTCACACGAGGGACTAGCAGTTGACGTAATGGCTATGTTGCGGGACTCCCATGTAGTCAATCGTGGTTCAAGTCCCAGACCCAATGGCTTAAACTCATGCCGGGCACGTGTACGTGTGTGCCTAAGATCCCGAGAGGAGAATGGAGGAGAAGGGATTGTGGCATGGCCATCCACCTGGGGGGTGATTTCTTGCTTTCTGTCTCTCTCTCTCTCTCTCTCTCTGTCTTTCTGGCAAGTGCACACGCCCTATAGCAAAAATCTCTCCAAAAAAAAAGACTCACATGAGACAGTAAGTGTAAAGAACTTCAAAACTGCATCCTATAATTCAAAGTCACAAAAATAATTTTAAAATTAATGTAAAACTTTAAAAATACATTCTGAAAAGATTTCGTCTGATTTTTAAAAAATGAGGTGCAAATCGGTTTCCCAGCCCTACAAGAGGTTTTATAAAAATGGTAGATGCTAAAAAAGAGCAAGGAGAATGATACATCCTATTTGTGTGTGTGTGTTTTTTCTTCCTTCCATCCCACTCCATCTCTGTGAACCATCTGTGGTGGATTAGATTATTATTCAGCAAATATTCACTCCTTCCTGCCCAGTGATGTAGGGCTTGACTTGTGGCTTGCTTTGGTCTTCTGGGGGCCAGAAGTGAAGTACAGTCCACTTCCCACCCTAAGCTTTTGAACGCAATCATATGACTTGCTTTGATCAATGTGATCTAGCACATATGGCACAAGCAGACATTTAATCTTATTGTGCAGTTGGTCTTGGCTTCTTGCACTTCCTCCATTGCCTAGAGAAAAACTTACCATAAATATTCACTGCCTTTTCAGCCTGGGCCCGAGAGTAAGAAATGCCACTTACAAATGGTCCCGGTGACCCATAGACCTACACCTTCGAGCAGAGCCCTGAGTGAGAATAAATTCTGCAAGTTGCTGAGTTTGGGGGAAGGTCTGTCAAAGAAAGTTATTGTAGCAACTGTCTTTAGGTAATGGTTACATTGGTTGAGAAGATGCAATGAAGATGAAGACAGATCTACAAGCTCAGAATCTTTCAGCTGAAAACCTAAGGACTAAATGTATTCAGATTTTAAAAGATAACATGATGCCAGTACCAAATGTTACATAATTGTCCCATAGGGTCTTAGCTACAACCGTAAAAATCAAACATGTTATTAAGTCTAAAACAAAACACAGTTAGTCTTAAATTACATAAAAGATAAAGACTATAAAGAGGTTCAGGTCGGATTTTGCTATAACATTAGTTACAAAAGAAAAAAAAAAACTTTCAGAATTATGGATATGAGACCTTGTCCCTATATTATCAAACTCTGTATAAATACAAACATTCTTTCCCAAAAATGTTACTTGATTGCAATAACTCTCCAAGGAAGGTATGGCTACCCCCAAATCACTGTCTCAAATTCTCTGTAGGGAACCAGCAGTTAGCGTAATGGCTATGTCGCTGGACTCCCACGTAGTCGACCGCGGTTCGCATCCACGTCCCGGACTCGGTGGCTTAAAACTCATGCGGGGCGCGTGTGCGAGGGTGCCCAAGATCCCGAGAGGAGAATGGAGGAGAAGGGATTGCGGCATGACCATCCCCTCTGGGGGGTGGTTTCTTGCTTTCTGTCTCTGTCAGTCTGGCGAGTGCATGTGTCCTATAATGAAAATCTCTCAAAAAAAAAAAAAAATCTCTGTAGAAATGAGAAGACAAGTAATTTTTAATTAAAAAAAAACTCATTGCTTACATCTAATTAAATTGTAAATCACTTATTATACACAGTTGCCTATATTCCTTCTTTTGCACTGGGTCAGTTGAAAGAACTGTACAAGGTATTGTGAAACACTAACGTTATTATCCCTTAAACAACAAATATTAGGTCATCGGAAAAGTCATGGCGCACTTCTGCAAAGAAAAACACAGAAAAATACATCATGACTTTTCCAGTGACCCAATACTTACTGAGTTTTTCTGCAGAACCTGTAGGTACTCTAGACAGGTGCTGTCATAGGTGTTGGGGAGACTACTGAACCAGATAAAGCTTCTGTTTAATTAAGAAGCTTATTATGGGGCCAGCAGGTGGTATAGTGATTAAAGAGCTGGACTCCCACATGGCCAACCACAATTCAAATCACACCACATCACAATTGAAAATCACACCAGGTGGGCTGGCAGGTGGTGGTTAAGGGCACTGGACTCGCAAACAGTCGATAGAGGCTCGAATCCGGGACCTGGTGACTTGCTTTCTCACTTTCCCTTTCCCTCTTTCTCTCTCTCTCTGTCCCTCTCTGGTCAAATTAAAATAAATAAATAAATAAATAAATAAATAAATAAATATAAAGTCAAATAAAGTAATTATTTTTTTTAAAAAATCATGCCAATAACATGTGAGTGCCCAAAATCCCAGGAAGAGAACGGAAAAAGGACTGCAGCTTGCCCATCCCCCTTGGGGAGTGATTTCTCACTTTCCCTCTGTCTTTCTCTGTCTCTCTTAGGCAAACACACATGCCCTATGGGAGAAAAGAAAAAAAGAAGGTTACTATCTAGATGAGAAGACAAACAAGCAAATTTTTACACTGATTACATGTTGAATAAAAATGTCAGACTTGACTTCAGTGGCAACAGCAGGTTCAGATCCCAAGTGGACTTGAAAACCTGCTGGGTATCAGGTACACACATACCCTAACAAGTTCCAGGGTTGGGAGAAGTGGATCAGGGTGTGATGAGACCCTACTAAGGGTGCTACACTTTTTCTCATAGATAAAATACATTTTTAAATGTTAGATATGTTGAGTTAAATAAAGTCTGTTATCCAAATTAATCTCACCTGTCTCTTTTTAACCTTTAAAACATGCTTATAAGAAAATTTGAATTAACATTTGTGCTTCACATTATAATTCTATTGGTCAGTGCTGTTCTAAATCTTCAGTTCTAAGATCACCAGGCCTAATACTCAAAATCCCTGACAAGCTTTTCCTTCTTGAAGCTTCCCTCCCTTCCTCTGCTTTTGTGACACTGCGCTATTGTGGTTCTCCTCCTACCACATTCTTTCTCCTCAGCTGTCTCGTCACCCTTCTTCCACCCCACCATTATAAGTGTTCATCAGTGTCTGTCCCTGGTCTCCCCGTCCCCTTCTTTCTCTTGGGCGCCGCCTCCACTGCTCCAACATCGACTGGGCAATCTATTGAAATGACTCACATTTACAGCTCCTGTCCTGTCTACAGGGCATTTTCACCTGCTGGTAGTTGGAAAGTGGTACTTCCAAAGCACTTCCTCCTGCCTCTCTACATTCGTTCTTCCCTCCTAACTTCCTTATCTACCATTCTCTAAACTTAAAACCCCTAGTCGACAATATGCTTCACTCCTTGCTCAACTGGCTGCCACGTCCTGTTCATGGTTCTTTCTAAGCCGCTGCCACCAGCACAGACCGAACTCGCGTTAGCTCTCGCCTGAATTATGCCAAAGTCACTCGACTCTCTCTCAGCCATTCCAGCCTCCGCCAGCACACCGATGTGCTTAAAGCCAAGCTCTGACCATCACAGTGCCACAACTTGAAAAGAATCCAAGAGGGCGGAAAAGGCAAACACTGAGGACACAGGCAAGCACTACACACGCATGCCTCCTGACAGTCCGGGTCGGGTCAGACCCCGTTTTCCGCCTCCCCAGGAGGCAGAAGGAACTCAGCCCAAAGTGCCCCTCGCCTGTGGACAAGGACGCGCGCGGGCTAGAGGCGCGGAGTTTCACCAGTTGCTCAAGCAGACCCAGCCCAAGAAGCTTCCTCTTTCTCCTGCTCCGCTCCAGCCCAGGCGGTCAATCCCGGCCCGCGCGGCACCTGCGCCCTGACCTGCCCTCAGGAAACCAGCATTTCCGGACCAAGGCTGGGAAGGGAACAGCTCAACCCGACCACACGCCGCGCCCGAAGCCTGAGAAACCGGCCGCGCTCCTCGCTTCCCACGCGCGGTTCCAGGTCCCCACCCGGCCGCGCCCCGCCCCTCATCCCCAGGACACCGACTCCACGGTCCGGGGGCTACACAGGGTCAGGCCCCGACCA